AGCGTCGTGTGCTATTGAAACTTGTCGAGTCACTACACTGTATACCTAAACGAACGGAACATTGCGTGTCAACTACACGCAAATAAAAATTAATAATTTAACTTAATAATTTTTTAAAGAGAACGTAGGGTTCTCTGACCCCTAGGGACAGTATTCTTGTTGTTTTCAGCATCTAGCTCAGCGGTTAGTTGGTACCAGCTGGCTGGCTGGCTGAATAAGCAAATACACTTGGCATGAGTTAGGACCCGGCCTGGCACACGAGAAGGCAGCTTGACTCTGGGACCCTCTGCTTCTGCATCTGTAGTGCGGGAGTGACGATCCCTCTGTGGGAGGTTGGATGAAAATTGGAGATAATGTCCTGAAGCATCTGGTATGCGAATTAGCATTGATAATTTGGTTGCTATTTTTACTGTCATCATCTCAGGCTCCACACTTGGTGTCTCTGGCTCTCATCCATCTTCTAAACCGCCCGGTTGGGGTTTCGTCCGGTCCCCTTGTTGCCAGCTGGTCATCTCCTGGTTGGGTTGTGTCACTCATTTCTTGCCAATCCCCGCTCAGCCCTCCACAGCGGCCCACGAACCCACCCTCAGCCTTCCGACCCTCCAGCCTCCCTCCCATTTCCCTAAATAAGCCAAATTACTCGAAAATTGTTTCCTGTCTAGAACCCTCTCTTTTTCTTTCTCCACCTTCTCATCCTTCAGGGCTGGGTGACATTTGGGAGGCCGAACGTGCGAGTCTTGATTGAAAAGAAGGAAGTCAGTCGACCGTGGCCTGATTTCCCATCCTATTTACCAAAGGAGCTACTAGGGGCTTCTTGGTTACCGAGGAGAGTACCGCACCTGCTCACGAGAAGCAAACAGGTGTAAAGCTTCATGAGCCTAAGAAATGCGCTGGCAGTTGGTAAAAACCAAAGATGTAGTCAAGTAAGAAAGCTCTCACGTGGATTATTAAGCTTCTGAGCAAAGCTGCAGAGAGGTGGTCCAGGAAAGGGGTCCACCAGACAGCGGTGTGAGTAGGAAACCCCCTGTAGTATCTCAGTAGAGACAAAAGTGATTCTGCGTGTGTTGTCTTTTTGTGGAGAGTCCTTTGTAACTCACCCAGTAAGCAAACGCCTTTTTGCTTTAAGATGGAGACAGGAACCGTGCCAATAAGGGGGAAATTAAGTGTCAGTATGTGTGCTGAGTACCCTGTAACAGAGACCTCAAGCCCTCTTCTCCCATCGGTCTTCCAGAACATTGCGGTCATGTGATTTTAAGCCTCTTCTTGAGGGGGAGTCTGGCCAGCTCTGGAGGAATGACTCCAAGATGCTAGCATCAGTCTCCCCAAAAAGCCTTGCGAGAAAGCCCTAGAAGGAAGCCCAGAGTTAATAAGCTCCACCCGTGCTCTGAGAGATTCTGGTCAGCATTTTAACTCCCAACTCCTCATCATGAGCAAACAGCCAACATTACCAGACAGTTTAGGAAAGCCTCCAACAATGAGATGAACGAATAAAAGCATAGCGAGAAAGGCACAAGCTATTCAGGGAGAAGAAAACTTCATCTCCATAAACTGTAATAAATATCCACGGAGAGAGGAGACAATGCCTCCATGAAATCGGAACACGATGCTGTAATAGAGGAAAATTTAGAAAACAGAGAGCTTTTGGAAAAAAAAAAAAGAGCTTTTAATAGCAGAAATGAAGATCGTTCAAAAGAGGGAATAGAAGACAAAGCTGAGAAAATCTCCCAGACAGTAAAGCAAAATGACAAAGAGGAAAAGATAAGAAAATAGAGGAGCAGTCCAGAAAAGTCCATACTTAAGTGATAGAGGATTTTGTGGTAGAAAACACATGGGGGGCAAAATCATTGATGAAATAATTCAATAAGCATTACGGATGTTAGGTTTACCTGTGAGCTGGGCTGCCCGATTAAAGAACTCACGGCAGGATGAACGAGGCTAGAGCCACACCAGCGCACGTCGTTGTAAGTTTCCTGTGACGCTGGAAACAAATGTGGCACTTCCGAGGCCCAGAGAGGAAAAAAAAATAGGTCACCCCCAGGGGGACGGCCGTCAGAACGGGTTTAGACTTGCCGATGGCAACATCGGAGTCAAGAGAGTGGAGCCATTCCTCCAAAATTCTGAAGAAAAGCGGCTCTGTGCTGGAATCCCACCCTCACCCAGACTGTCTTTGTGTAAGAGGGTAGAATAAAGATGCTTTCTCGAGTGCGTGATCTCAAGAGATTTGCCTCCCATGTATGCCCCACCAAAGGAGGGAGTACAGCTTGGAGCAGAGTCCAGAGAAGGTGAGATCCAGAAAACAGAAGGTCCAACACAGCAAAGAGCTGAAAGCACTCCCCAGGAGCGTGGCGGAGGGAGAGCTCGAGGGACGGCCCCGCAGAGAGGTACAGGGCAGCCCGTCCGGCTGGAGCAGCGCGGCAGAGAAAGAATGCTGTGATCAGCGTGATGCTTTCTGCCACTGTCCTGTCTTTCACTAAAGGGGACGTGTCTGGGTGAAACTGGCCTCGGTTCTTACCTGCACTTGGCCTGTCTCCCCTCCCTGCCCTGCTCCCTGGATCAGCGGGGTGACCTGCTTTGTCCTATTCTTTTGTTCTTCATTGTGGCGAAAGTAGGTTTACCTATTTATTAAAAACTTAACCCCTTTAAATGTACAGTTCGGCAGTGCGAAGTCCATCCGTGGGGCTGTGTAACCACTCTCCAGGACTCTTTCCATTTTCCAAACTTGAACCTCCGTGCCCATTCAGTAACACTCCATGCTCCCCGCCCCAGCCCCTGGAACCATCCTTCACTTTCTATCTGTACGACGTTGACTGCGCTCCATACCTCATAAAAGTGGAATTATGCAATATTCATCTTTTATGACAAATTGTTATTTCCCTTAGCATGATGTCCTTAGGGTTCAGCCATATTGGAATGGGAATGGGAATCTCCTTCCTTTTTTAAGGCTGAATAATATTCCGCCGTGGGTACACGGCAGATTTGTTTCTTCATTTATCCACTGATGGACGTTTACGTTGCTTCCACCTTATATTCTCAACACTGCTGCTGTGAAGGTGGGCACACAAATATCCCTCTGAGACCCGGTTTTCAGTTCTATGGAGTATATATACCTAGAAGCAGAATTGCTGGGTCATACGGTAATTCTATTTTTTTTTCCAGGTATGTTGAGATACAGCTGACGTATAACGTCATGTAAGTTTAAGATATAAAACGTATGGATGGGGCGCCTGGGTGGCGCAGTCGGTTAAGCGTCCGACTTCAGCCAGGTCACGATCTCGCG